TTGCTGCAACCCCCAAACATAATTTAGAAAACTCAAGAGGAGAAAAACAGTGCATTGTATTTACCCATATTTGTGCTTACTATGTTTTTCTCTCCTTCCTAGTGCTCCAAAATTCCTTTTTTTTTGGTTGTTGTTTCATTTGCTTAGAAAATGTCTTTAGCCATTCTTTTAGGGTAGGTCTGCTGGTGACAAATTTGCTTAGCTTTTCTTGATCTAAAAAAAAAGTATTGATTTGTTCTTTATTCCTGAACGACATTTTCACTGGGTATAATATTACAGGTTGGCAGTTCCTTTCTTTCAGTATTTGAAAAACATTGTGCCACTTCCTTCTAGCCTTCATGGTTTCTGATGAGAAATCCACTGTAATTAGAACAATTTTACCCCTATAGGGAAGGTGGGATATTTCTCTGGCTTCTTTCAAGATTTACAATTTGTCTTTAGTCTTAAGAAGTTGAATTATGTTGTGTGTTGGTGTGGGTTTCTTTCGGTTTTTTCCTGTTTTAGATTCACTCAGCTTTATGAATCCATCTATAACTTTATGTCTCTTGCAAACTTCGGAAGTTTCCAACAATTATTTCTTTGAGCATTTGCCCACCATTATCTTCTCCTTCCAGGAATCCCCTGACACAAACTTTAAATGCTCTATCAGAGGCCCACGGGTCTCCGAGGCTCTATTCCTTTTTTCTTTTCCCAGCCTAGTTTTTCTTTGCCATTTGGACTGTGTCATTTCTATGTTCCATCTCCCAGTTCACTGACTCTTTTCTCTGTTCTTTCCATTCTTGTGTCATACCCGTCAGTGAGTGTTTTATTTCAGAAATTTCAAACAAAAGGCTCTTTACTCGGCCTTTACTAGTGTTGGTGGGGACAAAGGATAGGGCCGCAGTTTTTCTGTTGCGTTTGGCTGGAGTAGACTGGTTATTGTCTAAATGTTTTCTGTGTTGCTAGGCAGCCTTTCTGAGTCCTTTGGATAAAAAACAGGCCATTGTTGGGGATTTCTTCCTTCCTTCCTTCCTTTCTTCCTTTTCCCTTCCCTTCCCCCCTCCCTTCTCTCTCTGCCCCTCCCTTCCTCTCGACTTCTTTTCTCTTCTCTTTTCCTTTTGTCTACACATGTTGACATTTCCAGGTTGCCACTTTCTTCAGTTCCACATCTGAGGTAATGTGGCAAAAACAAAACTCAAGAAATTCACCTCTGTATTCTTCCTTGGGTTCTAAAATGCCTACTCTGTCCACATTCTTCTCACCACTTTCAGAATCTTCATAAGCTTATAAGGTGACCCTTGAATAACATGGGTTTAAACTGCATGGGTCCATTTATATGCAGATTTTCTTCTGCCTCTGCCACCCCTGAGACAGTAAGACTAACTCCCCCTCTTCCTCTTCCTCCTTAGTCTACTCAATATGAAGACAAAGACAATGAAAATCTTGATGATCCACTTCTACTTAATGCATAGTAAATATGTTTTCTCCTTTTTTGGAATGTTCTTAATGTTTTCTCTAGCTTTTTTTATTATAAGCATACATCACATATTACATATGAAAAACATGTATTAATCAACTGTTTATGATGTCAATAAGGCTTCCCGTCAATCGCAGGCTATTGGTAAAGTGTGGGAAAGATAAAAGTATACACGAATTTTGTCGACATAGTGGTTGGCACCCCTAACTCCATGACTCCACTAGTCAACTGTACAATATGCAATGTGTAGGTTTTTAGTGTAGTTGCTGGGAGGAAGAGGGAAAAGTATGTCTACTCCAGCTTCCCAGAGGCAGAATCTGCGCTAGATCATTCGTTTTTCAATGTCTCTATTTTTTTCCATTTTCCTTTAATTCTTTAAAGTTCTTAAAGTCTTGCCAACAACAAAACTGAACAGATGAGTGTGTAATGACAAGAACTATACTCTAAAAGTGCTTTCTAAGTGGCCTGTGGGCATGTTCTCCCGGAATTGAGAATTCTATGAAAAATTTTTAGATGTGACATCAATTCTATTATAGTCTTACAAATACCCTTTGCCAGTTAAATAGACAAACTCGCTTTTTAAAATTATGACATTTCATAAGACTATGGTCTCAAGCTACAGTTCCCCAAAGTACCTGGGGTGAGGCACTAAAACTAATTTCCCCCTCAAAGAAGGTGAAACTAAGTGTGAGAGATACTGCTCAATATGTGGGGTGAGCATTGCCTCAGTGTTCCTAGGATACTCCCAACATATACCTTTTGTCCTGGAATAATTATTGATAGGGTATTCTTTTATACTCACAATATCTAATTTTGTATGATAAGCTAATATATATGCTCATATCACCTATAATAATGAAAATGAAAACAGGAGGAAAACACCCAGCAAGCACAGATACCACCCCAGTCATCTCCTCTTCAGGACACCATGGTGTATATTTACTATTCATTAGTGGAAGCATTAAGTAGCTCATATGCAAGGTCCATCTTCTTTTTCTCAGCAGCAACTTATTATTATATATTTTGTGCTTATACTGTGAAATACAGTCCCTGTAATGATAATGAGTAACTAAAAGGTATTGACTAAATAGTTGCAAACATATGTTCTAAGATTATACAAGAATATCAAAGGATGCTAAAATTCTGCCAGTTGTACACTTAAAGAAAACACAGCCATCAATTTGCAATTACATGTGTAACTTCCTAGTCTTTACAGTGAAACTCTTCTATGAACAAAGTTTGCCAAATTCTCGGCACCTAAATCATTTAACTGTGATTTAATATAAGTTCCACAATTATCAACTTTTCTTTTTCAGTGTCCTCAGACATAAGTTCTCAACAGCCAGTTAGACATCTCCAAACACATGTACTCAGCTGGCATCAACTCCCATCATGTTGGAACAACGCAGCACCCTTCCCCCAACCAAACTGGGTCTTCAGACTTCCCATTTCCTCCTATGGCAACCCATTTTTCTCTAGTTCCCCACCAATGAAACTTCAATGCCAAGTTAGTCAAGGTTATGTGAAATATAGCCCATATTTTATTTTTTGTCCAATCTTCAACATCTCCTTCAGGTTCTAGAAGAACGAGAACCCACCCTTTTCAGCAAGCATTCTCTATGCTCATTCCTCCATTCCTGCATCTACAGAATCCTACCTCAATTCAATTCATCCATGAAGTTCTTCCTGGTGACTTCCAACCAGATGTGTTTTCTCCACCTTTAAAACTTCATAATATTTTCAGGTGCGATATGGCAGTTATGTTTCATATTCATATATTATAGCTATTAGGTTGAACCACATGAAATTGTTGAGCCGATAAAAATGTCAGTCCCATATGGTTCAATCTAATATTTCTCTTGGTTTTAGGGCTCATAAATAAAGAGCAGTCTCCATGAAAACAGGGGCTGAGTTAGGTCTCTCTTTTGGATCCCCTGAGAAGCCTAGGACATTGGAAGGGCTTAAAAAGGGTTTGTCAAAATAAAGACTCATAAATCAACACATGTCTTATGCATATATGTTTGCAAAGTCAATCCTCTGAAGCAATTAGTCTAACTACATACGAAATCACTAATTGTTATACGAATCAGCACAAATGGCAGTTTAGAACCTGAAGGTTCTGGCAATATAAAATGTTTTGATTCAAGGAGCTGTTTTAAAATTATTTATTTGTGAAGGAAACATCCTTGGATTTAGAAGTTGGCAGATACAGTGAAAAGCTTTTTAGCTGACTGAAATAGAAAAAAAAAAATCAAAACACTTTTTAGCACATGCACTTCCCTTATAAAACCAAATTGCCTGAAAGCAGAGCCCAGCAGTTTGTGCACAATGAGTGTGTGCCTCAACACCATCAGCAGGAGATGCAAAATGCAGAACGACAGGAACAATTTGCATTTCTATAGCTTCTTTGTATACCCAAACTCTGAGAGCATTTTACAAAGCCATAAATATCATCACCCGGAAGAGACTGGGAAAGGATGCAGATACAAGGACGGACTTTGTGTACCCTGACCCAGGAGTACCCCTGTGCGGAGCAGTGGCCCCCATACAGCTGTAAACCTGAGTGCCATTAATTGATGCTGGTTAAGAAAAGGGGAACACATATCTGCAGGGTCCGTAACAGTCACAGGAACCATTCCCAGAAAGCGTTTGTCTTTCTTGCATTCACAAAGAATAACGTCAACAAATGGTAAGCTGTATTTGCGAGTTTCCCCAACAAAGGACTGGTCTCTAGTTCTAGGTGATGGTGGTATTATCAGTCACCTCACCAGTTCCCCCTGATTCCTACAAAGATCACCAATCCGAATGACACGTGTATAGGGCTTTCATGGGGCTAGGAGCAGTGGGCTGCCAGAAGCTCTGCTGGGGCCAGGAGAGAAGAGAGCATCATTCACTCTTATTATGTTGCAGGGGCCTATTTCCAGGGACAATTTGACTGAACCTTAGAGAAATTCAATGCAAAGGTATACTTCTGTTGTGCTCCAGGCTTCCTTCCCCACCAGCTGTGGAACTGTGCAATTCTGGTCCTGGCCAAACAGTGTCCAAAGCTAGTTGCCAATGAGGCCCGGAGCCCACACCTCCTCTAGCGTAGCATAGCAGCAGCCCTCACTATCCTCCAGGGGTCACAATTGGGTTATGAATTCCTCACAGTGCAGGGACTGAGCAGCCTGACTGGGAACAATTTATTCGAATCCTTCTTCATTAAGATTCAAATGGAATAAGTAAGGCAGAAATTGAACAGACACAGAAATTGTGCCTTGCTGCTCCTGTAGTCAGTAAACATTTATTCACTAAGCCTAGCTCGTGTGTTCTTTCTCTCTCTCTCTCTCTCACACACAGTTGTTCTTCCAATCTTTCCTGCTTGCTGTTTTAATGCATAATTAAGAAGGTCAGAATTAATGAAGCAGTGTGGAGTAAAGTTCAAGGAATCCCCAGGCACTATTTATTCTATTAGATCTCAGGCATGAATGTCAGATTGGCAGCGCAGGCGGCATGAGCAATGGAGCTGGCGGCATCCCAGGAACGGCCACCAAGGGAGACTCACCTGCACAGTCCAGTCATTCCTCAGCTCCTTCCCTGCGAAAATCACACGCAACTGGTCAGTCGGAACCCCCTGTCGCTTAGCAACCACCTCCTTGAGCTGGAAGATGCTGGTGTCAGAATCGACCTCCACTGGGAAACCATGGCTGGAGTTGAACCTGACAAACACTGACCAAGGAAATTGGAAGGGAGAAAGGAAGTGAGCATCACTTGAAGCCCTTAAATGGCCATAGCAACATTTCTCAACTGACTTACCCCTTGCGGCCTTTCAGTGAATGGCATATATTTTCTTTCACTTAAACAACAAAAAACTTAACGCTATAGAGCAATATTTGTGAAAAACAGAGTTGCCCATGAGATTTCCCTTTCATATATTTGTCAGTGACCTGCAAACCAAAATTGCATTTTCCCTTTGACCTCCATCCTGAGAAACAGAGAGGCTTGAGCAGGACACTTGCCTGATTGGAATTGAAAGAGTCCCATGAGTTTATTGAAAAGACTCAGCTCTGACAGCCTGTACACACTCACGCTCCCTCCACAGTGAAGCTCTTAATAAAAATAGGAGGCAATGGATTCGCACTCAAGGTAGAGCAATGGAAAAAATCCAAGCTGCTCTATAGACCAGAGCGAAGACCCACTAGGGGCTATGGCTCAGAGTCCTAGACTTGGGTGGTCCTGGCCAAAATGCTCCACTGGGTCTATGAAGACAATTACTTGCCGTTTCTTTTGGAAGGGAGGGGGTGGGGATGCTAGTGACACCATTTGTCTTATTGAAGCCACTGTTCCCCATGAGACCCAGGCTGCATCCTCTAGTCTGTTTGCATGCTGTCTTCTCACCACACCTGCTATCCCACCTCTTCAGCGTCTCTCATCTGCCCTTTCCTTTCCATTCTTTCTCTCACTGCTCAAAGTCACACTCTCATCACATCTTTTCTAGAGCCTCATAATAGCCCCCAACTGGAGTTTCGATCCAGTCCATTCACCTCCAAAAGGCCCTACATAGTTCTGCAAAATGAGCCTTATTACTACAGAGCTATGTCACACCACTCAAATCCTTTAAGTCTCACACTGTTGGCTGGTGAGGAAAGACTCCAAGATCCCTTCCATCTAGCACAAACCTATATTCTAGCACTTTCTTCATTAGTCTCCATGTGTACTCTGTTAAAAAAAAAAAATCACAGAAAACTGCTGCACACAACTTCATGCTTTTATTCATGACCTCCCTCCTTCTCCTCTTCCTATTGAAATCCTGCCTACCCCCATGGCCCACTTCAAAAGTGACCTCCTCCAAGAAGCCTCTGGCTATCAGCTCCTGCCAAAGCCTGATCTTCCCTATTCAGGGCACCAGTGGCATTTACTATGTACATCTTATAATATCCAACACATTCCTTGTGGAAGCAGGATGGCATAAGGGTTAAAAGTACATCCTGCAGCGTTAGGAAGACCTATGCAAAAATTCCCGTAGACTCCTTTAACTGGCTTAGGATGCTAGGGGTCAATCTATATATCCTGCAGCGTTAGGAAGACCTATGCAAAAATTCCCACAGACTCCTTTAACTGGCTTAGGATGCTAGGGGTCAATCTATATATCCTGCAGTGTTAGGAAGACCTATGCAAAAATTCCCACAGACTCCTTTAACTGGCCTAGGATGCTAGGGGTCAATCTATTAACCTCCCTCTTTAGGTCTCAGTTCCTTTATCTTGAAAACATAAATAAACCATAGACCACATTATTTGACTCATTAAATAATATTTATAGTATTTAAAACGACCATCTTGTAACCTTTAAAAATTATGGACATTTAGCTGTTTTTGATATACATTTTGCCTTCTTTAAAAGATAATAAACTCCTCAACGGCAAGTGCTATTGTTTATTTACTGCTGTGTTTCTTTTAAATGTAGTACTATAGCTAATTATTTCTCAATTCCAATGTGAGATGACCCACTTCATCATAATTATAATAATCATTACAATGCCAATAATAATCAGGCACTTACTATGTGGCAGACATTGTGATCTGACATGGTTTTTCTAAGCCTCCCAGTGATCTGGTCAGGTCCCTATTATTATCCTTATTTTATAGAATAAACGAAGGCCCAGGGAATGGTACCTACTTTTCTAAGGACATTAATGACTTTCTAATAGCGCCGGGTTTCAAATTTATTTCAATCTAACTCTAAAGCTCATTCTATTTCTACTAAAATAGGCTTCCTGAAACCATCTCAGAAGAAAAGTCTAGACCGGGCACAGTGGTTCAAGCCTGTAATCCTAACACTTTGGGAGACCAAGGGGCAAGGATCACTTGAGCCCAGAAGTTCAAGACCAGCCTGGGTAACACAGTGAGACCCCATCTCTACAAAAAATTTTTTAAACAATCAGCAGGGTGCGGTGGCGTGCACCTGCAGTCCCAGCTACTCGGGAGGCTGAGGTGGGATGGTTGTGTAAGCCCAGGAATTAGAGGTTTCCGTAAGCTATGGTTGTGCCACCACACTCTGTCACCCTGGGTGACAGAGACCTTGTCTAAAAAAAGTCCACATTTCTGCCGGGCACGGTGGCTCACGCCTGTAATCTCAGCATTTTGGGAGGCCGAGGCGGGCGGATCACAAAGTCAGGAGATCGAGACCATCCTGGCTAACATGGTGAAACCCCGTCTCTCCTAAAAATACAAAAAAATTAGTCGGGCATGGTGGCACATGCCTGTAGTCCCAGCTACTCAGGAGGCTGAGGCAGGAGAATGGTGTGAACCAGGGAGGCGGAGCTTGCAGTAAGCCGAGATCATGCCACTGCACTCCAGCCTGGGCAACAGAGCGATACTCCGTCTTAAAAATAGTCCACATTTCTATCCCTCATGATTAAAAAGATAACAACAAAAAGGCTTTATGACATAAATCAGATATTCCTTGTACGGGTGAGCAGTACAAATAAATAAGAGCTCCAGTGAAGAGCTAAGCGCAAAGGACCATGAACAATAACCATGAACAACATGAGCCCCAAAACAGAAATGACGCTCAAGTGAGGGCAGGTGTCCCAGATGGCATCACAAGAACAAAAGCTTGACATCTCTGACTAGCATGGAAAATGTTTAGAAAAAGGAAGGATGACTAGTGACAAAGTGCTCCAAATAAAGAAAATTCATGAAGGTGCTTTTGATACACTTTTAAGTCAATTTCATTCAACACCTTTGAAAATAGAGTGGAAGAAACCAAAATGTACTGGAAGTACTGAGGTATCTTCACAGCATCCTCAGATCAGAGACCATAAAACAACCAACATCAGGTAAGAGACATGACAAGTTAGGGGCTATAGGGACAAAAGATATGATCCCAGTTCTACATTTCATTTTCTACTAGTGAGAATAGATTTAAAGTCATACACCATAGGATGGAATGTGGGAAGAAGTGGCTGGAATTCGTGCCAAAGCTGCTATATAAACAGATAAAAATTCCAGGAGATCTTAAGTTTATGATTTTGCTCCAGGGGTTCAAATCATGGAACTCCTACTGCAAGGACAAGAATTTTTTTGTAAAGGGAAACTGCAAAACATATTCAAGATACCTCTGTACAACTACTGAAATCCTAAGTATATACAAGTTTTTTCTATAATAGAAAAGTTACAGATTTAAAGCTTCAGCTCCATTTAGATAAATCATAAATACTACAGATATGAATATTTTTAACAGTAAATCTAATATACAATATAAACTTAAAATGGAAAGATAAACCAAATACATAATATTTGACCAACTAAAACATTTGCATGAATAAGAAAAAACATCTTAAGAAATTCACTGAGTCCATAATCAAGTGCCATTATGTGAAACCTTTTTCTGACATATGTTGGAAACATGTCATGTCCCATCTGTACCAGTCCCTGAACTCCAGCCATGATTTCCAAAACAGGAGTGAAGTACCCAGTCCTCCTCATCTACTACCTCTTTAAAGTCACAGAAAGCAGAATGTCTTTAGAGCTACATAAAGAGAAACCTGAATGCTGGTTGTAACGCTTGCTAATTTTATGACAAGTTACCTGGCCACCTTGACGCTTAGCTTCCTGATCTAATAAACAGGCATAAGGGATGCATAAGATTATTGTTACATAAGATTTATTGGGATTATGGATGTATTAGAAAATATCAGAAAGAGACTAGTACAGGGACTATCCTCCCAGTGCTGGGCAAGTGTGTGCTCCAAAACAGTTCCCTACTCTAGGCACCTAGAGGAGGTAGAGTTAATTAAAGCAGTGTCTTTTGCATGATAACTAAGGGAGATTAGACAGGATGTGGGTAAATACTAAGTAAAGTAGCCAATTTTTCTGGATTCTGCTCCTCTTGGTGGACAGAAAACTTCCAGAGACCAAGAGATATGATAGAGAATATGGCTCATCTCCACTTTCTAAGGTTTAATTATATATTAAAAGCTTGGACATGCATTGTTTTAATAATTGTTTTGATGACATAGCATCAGAAACAAACAACATATCAGTAAACATTATCAGTCATGTGTATTATCAATCAACACCATAACGCACTGATAAGAAAAAACATAATGAGACATATCCAGATTCCTTTTTTATGATATCCCTATCCAGGATTCAGAAGTCCCAGAGAGTAAGGCAGTGACTGAGAGGGAAGAGGGGAAGGGGTCATTGGTGGATGGGTCCTTATATTTCTTTCAAGACGATTTTATTTACCAAGTCTGACCAGGGTATAAACTTTTGAGTTATAAACATAGTAGTCAATATCAATAATTAATGATTCTTCAATGATTCTGGCTGCTCCTCAAGCAGCCATTCCACCTCCTGCACAGAGAACAGCCATGTGATTCATGAGCACAGCCCCATCTTCCTCGTCATTGGTTAAATGATTGGTTCAGGGATGATGCAAGCCAATCTGTGCCTGGCATTCCCCTGGTGCTAGTGATTGATTCTGCAGAATACAGGTGACGTAAGGTGGACTAATCTAAGTCATATCTAGAACTGTGAGAGGTTTGGTGAAGTCCTTTTAGATTACAAATAACCTCATGTGATGCCTTAGACATTTTTGCTGAGAGCTGAGAGACCCAAGGAAAATCACAGCCCAAGACAGACCATTAACATGAGCATATAAATGGACTCAATGCATTGAAGACAGGCAATTCTTCCTCATGAGAGGGTGTCCTAAGCTCCGT